TTGTGTATAGATTAGTATATCGAGCATGTGAATTAATAAAGGAAGCTTGTAACGAGCTGTTATGGCAATTGAAATCCACGGGTAACCTTTCTAATGACAAAAGGGTTGAAGTAATCGAATAACTTCCTTTGTTTGGCTATTTATTATAACTACATGTGAGTATACTATCTATTATATGAAATTGTTTTAAACTAAGCATATTTCATAGCATTATGTGATTTTGATCAAATAAATGAGTAAGAATATGTGATTTCATACTTTACATAAATATATGCTATGTGTTGAGGATATGTGTATGAATGAGGAACTTATGAATAGTTTGGAAAGCATGATCATAGGGGTAAGAGTTCACCTATGTGGAGTATGATGATAGGACCATATGGCATATTCTCCTTAGTGCTCGAAGGGGTAAAGTGTTGTAGAATTATGCCTCCTTAATACCTTTTGAGGTGTGATGTTGGAGATTATCTCCTTAGTGTCTATTGAGGTGCGATGTTAGAGATTTAGACTTCTTAGTGTCTATGTGATACGGTGTTAAAGTCAACGACACCTGATTATGTGTATTACGAGAAATCATAGTCCAAAAGTAAGATATAACACCTTTAGCTGAGTGATTCTACTACTAAAGGTGAGCTCAAGGCTAATGATATTATATATTGGTCTAAGGCAAGCCTATAGTTTTAAGTCAGGGTGATTTAGAGGTTTGGATGATAGAGATCATGCTTATGTTAGAAAAGTGGTGGAAAGCAGTGAAAGGGGTGATATAAGCTATGTTAATGAGGTTTGAATGGTATATTATGCTTTACTTTCATATAGTTATATGTGATAGTCAATAGGAGTGAGTTATTATATTATTAAGATTTTTATCTCACCCATGTGGTCACATTTTTACAAGATAAAGCAGTGATCAAGGCAAAGGAAAAGAGTTAGGGCTAGCTTAGAGTTGTTGAAGCCATGTGAACTCAGAGAATTGTATAATGAACTAAAATCTTATGTATATATGTATAGATAAGTTGTCATAAGGATTGCATGCATGTTTAGAGTAGTGAAATAAAGAAAATATAGAGATTTTGTGAAATCTTAGCCTAATTGTGTGTATATATATGAGGCTAAGATTGAGTTATGATTATATTATGGATATGGATAGATGAGATTTTGGTGAGAAAAGGGCCAAGTGGGCTAAGTTGTACTAAATTGTAACAAATTATGAAAAGTTGAGAAATGTAAAAATTATCTATTAAGGTGTCAAATGTTGGTATATGTGTTATGTTGTGGTCAATTAGGTGTATTAGGTCCTTTTGGATAAGTTCAACACTTTGTGTGGTCTAATGAGAGAAAGGGATCAATTTGAGCGTTTGGGTGCATGAAATTTTTGTAAAAAGTGACTTTTTGCACCCAGGTATCTAGTTTTTGATCAAACCATTAGATTGTGTCTAAACCTGTCTCATTAGCTAGCTTATGAGTTAAGCTTCATATAGGTACTTGAATTACTTCAATCAAACATTGTATGTAAAAATGGTGCAGGTCAAAAGCTCATTATTTTCTGTTAAATGACAGTTGAAAATTCAGACTGGCATGGCACAACACATGGTGTCTCATGCTGAAGCGTATGACACACAGAGTTAGGGGTGTTACTCCATGCCACATGCCACATTACACGTATTGTAAGCCATGATGCATGGTGTAACATCCTAGATTTCTTAATCCTAAGTTTAAAGGATAATCAAGGGTGAAGTTAAAGTTAGTGTGGGATTAGAGATTCAGATGATTAATTAGTATTTTGACTTGTTTGTATGTTGTGTGAGCAAATATAGGCAAGAAAAGTGTGTTTTGGGTCAAAGCAAGTGTGCGTGGTGAGAATACATCTTACTGTGCCATGTGCCATGGCTCATGCTGCATGTGTCGTGGTGCATGGACCATAAAGTCACTTCTTAAGTCATGAAATTGGTTGATTTTCATAAGTGAAAATTTAAACACACATGAGATAGAGAGAGGAAAAGGGTTGAGGAGCTAAGACAAGTTATTTTGGAGTAGTGGAAGGTGATTTGAATCGATAACTTGCCAAGTAAGCTGTGTATAACTCTTACCTTCCATTCTACACAAATTTTTCTAAAAATAAGTTATAGAGAAATTGATTTGGTGGAATTTGAGGGGTTTAATTATTGCTCAATAGTAATAAAAAGGTTTTTGAAAGTTAAATTAGAGCTTTGTGATTGGTTTAGAGCTAAACAATAGAGCTTTAAACCTGTAAGCTCAATTTTAGCTTTTAGAGAGAGAAAGTTAGGGCAAAAATCTGATTTAAGTGAAATAAGACCAGTTGAGGTGATATAAAGTAGTAATTAGGTAGTCATAGACTTAGAATGGATAAATGGAAAATAATTTATGGATGAATATAGCCCTAAGAGGTAAAAATGAGTTTTGATCAAAATGGACCAAATGACTAAAATGTGTTCAGATTGGCATATTGGACGTGTGAGTAGAGAAAGGAAGCTTGAGATAAGTTTGTGTGATAGTTAAAATCTATGGGTAACCTTTCTAGTGACAGAAGGGTTAAAGTAATTGAATAACTTCTTTTGTTTGACTGTTTATTATAATTGTATGTTAGTATGCTATTTAGTGCATGAAATAATTTTAAACTAAACATGTTTTATAACATTGAGTGATTGTTGTGTGTGAAATGACTTTTAGTTGAAATAAGCATTAAAATTTGTGTTTTGTAATGTAAAGTGTTATTTATATATATATTATGTGCACGAAAGTGTAAAATAGTAAATGGGAACCTTAAATGGTTTCAAAAAGTATGATCATAGAGGCGAGAGTTCACCCGAGTATAGGAGATGATAAAGACCATGTAGTAAGGTTTCCTTAGCACCTGTTACGGTGTGGTGTTGGAAACAATTCTCTTTAGTGCCTTGAAAGGTGTAATGTTGGAGAAGATCTCCTTAGTGCCTATTAAGGTATGGTGTTCAAGACGTGAAACTCTTTGGTATCTTTGTGATATAGTGTTGGAGTCAATAATGCCCTATCATGTGTATTGGGGGGAAACCATAGTTCATATTATGTGTTAGAATATCTTTAGTAGGGTGATTCTACCACTGTAGGTGAGCTCAAGACTAATAAGAATATACATTGGTCTAAGATGAGCCTATGGTTTTGTATCAGGATGATTTAGAGATTTGGTTGGTAGAGATCATGCTAGCATGTTATGTAATAGGATGAAATATGTTGAGATAACATGGAATCCTTTATGATTGAGGAAAAGTTAAAAAAGGAAAGAGATATGATATAAATGCTATTTTATGAGGTTTTGATGACATAGTATGTTTACTTTCATATTGTTGTATGTGATAGTCAATAGGATCGGGTTGTGATTAGGGCAAAGGAAGAGAGTCTTCACTAGCTTGAGTGTGAAGATGTGTACTTTGAGGTTGTATAATAAACTAAACTAAAATTGTATATATAAGTGTATATGAGTTTTTATAGGGTTGCATGTATGTATTAAATTGAGCTTTTATGAAATCAAGCCTGATTATGTGTATATGTGTTGTTTGAAACAAAAAGGCTATGACTTGAGTATATTGTGTTGAAATGATTTTTGTGTTGGTAAATCTTAAGCCAAGGGATAGATTATGATGAAATGAATAATTTGGCGGCTAAAATTATATTATGAATATAATTGTATATTTATGGGTTGAGAAATAGCTAAGTGGGCTAAGTTATTCCAAAAAATGGCAAAGTATATGAAGTTAGTGAATTGTGAAAATTGGCCATAGAAGGGGAAAATTTCAATATATGAGTATAATTGTGATTAATTATGGGCAATCAGGTGCATTAGATCCATTTGAATTTGGTTTAAGGCCTAATAAGAAAAAGGGATCGAATTGAACGCTTGGGTGTGCAATTTTTTTAGAAAAAGTAACTTTTTGCACATGGGTGTCTAAATTGTGATCGGACTATTAGATTATGTCTAAACCTATCTCATTAGTTAGTATACAAACTAAGCTTCATATGGGCACTTGAATCACTACAATCGGATGTCGTATGTGAAAACAGCGCCCATTAAAAATTCATCATTTTTGCTATCAAAATGACAACAGAAATTTGGACCGGCATGCCACGGCACATGGTGACACATGCTGTGATGCACAACATAGAAAAGGCGAGCGTGTAGCACTATGCCATATGCCACAGCGCACGGACTGCACATCGTGGCACACGGATCTAATTTTAGTTTTATTTTTGTGTTGAAATGCATGCAATTGGGATAAGATTACTGGTGAGTTATGTCCACTATGTATTTGAGGAGTGTATGATTTACTTCCATTGTGTTTTTCTTTGATTGTATTGTGAATTGATTGATTTTACAAAATAAGTCTTCAGCTGAAGCTTTTAAAATAAATTTGATTATTTTAATTGATGCGAGGCAGTGGTAACACCGTAATCTTCTTTTATATTAAGTAAGTATAAAAAGAGGTTACATTTTGGTATCAGATTCTCCGTTTTTGAGACCTGATTAGTATTGATGCATTCATTTAGGAATATAGCAACTTATGTTGTTCATTACACAACTCTTTCTGTGATCTCTTTTGTGTTTCATATTTTTGTCCTTAAGAGGGTGGAAAATAGTATAGTATGAGAGGCACTTGTGCAAGAATTATAGTATCTAGACAAGTTATAGAGGAGGAACGGGAGCTGAAAGTTCAACCATTTTAGCTGCAATGAGACCCGAGTACCGGCAACATATAGCACTGCTTGATGTGATGACATATGAGGAGATATGCTATAAGTTAAGGGTAGCAGTTAGGTATGGTAGAGAGGCAGATGCTGAAAGGAGGCAAGACAGTATAGGGAGGTTTTCATCTCATTTGGGTCTGACTAGTGGAATCTCAAAGAAGCTTAGGTTCAGTGCAAGCAATTCTAGTTCTTCTAGAAAAAGAGATTTTAGTCGAGGATTGCAGCCTTGACTTGTGCATAGAGGGTCAATGCAAAGGGGTAGAGGTATGACAATTGGGCCTCCACAGTCTTCGAGGAAAGCATCAAATGTTCCAGCTCCGACTCTGAGTACTGGAAGGATACCCTATTGCAACATATGCGGAAAATCTCATTCAGAAAGATGTTAGGCTTGCTATAAATATGGTAAGTCCAGTCATATAGTTAGGTAATGCTAACAAGGCAGAGTTTAAGGGACTAAGCAGAGATTGATAAGTCCTAGTCAAGTATTTACAGTTACACAAGTAAGAGGCCAGAGTATCTTTGAACTTGATCAGAGGTATGATTTCTGTTAATGGTCATAAAGTAGAGGCATTGTTTGATTTGGGTGCTACCCATTCTTTTGTATCTAAGGAATATGTGGATAGATTGAAATTGTCTTTATAAGAATTGCCTATGCTCATTAAAGTGACAACACCTTCTGGATCGTCTAGTATTACAAGTCAAGCTTATCAGAATATGGAGATTCAATTTGAGGACAGAGTTTTCAAGATCGATCTAATTTGTATTCCTATAAGAGGAATAGATGTGATAATTGGCATAAATTGGCTAGTAGCAAATAATGCTATGCTTGATTGTACCAAAAGGGTGGTTTCACTACTAGTGTTGTGTGTAGCTATGGAATCCTTGGAGCAACCTAAGTTTCTATCAGTATTATGTGCTAAGAAGTTGATCCGACAAGGTTGTGATGCCTATATAGTATTCTTTATAGCCAGTATGGTGTATGATGGTAGGATCAAGAAGATTGGGGTAGTAAGTAAGTTCCTAGATGTATTTTCAGAAGAAATGACTAGACTACCTCCTGAAAGGGAAGTTGAGTTCTTAATTGATTTGGTTAGTGGAACCGAACCAATATCAAAGGCTCCTTATAGAATATCGCCATCAAAATTAGTTGAGCTAAAGAATCAGATTGAAGATTTACTAGAGAAGGGATTTATTAGGCTAAGTGTATCGTCCTAAGGATCACCGGTGTTGTTTGTGAGAAAGAATGATAGCAGTTTGAGACTATGCATCGATTACTGGCAATTGAATAAGGTAACTATGAAAAACAAATATCCTTTACCAAGGATAGATGATCTTTTAGATCAATTGGTTGGTGCCTCGGTCTTTTCTAAAATTGATTTGAGGTCGGGGTATCGTCAGTTGAGAGTTAGTGCAATAGATGTACTCGATATAGCATTTAGGACTCAATATGGCCATTATGAATTATTAGTTATGCCTTTTGGTTTGACCAATTCGCCAGCAGTGTTCATGGACTATATGAACCGAATCTTTAGGCCATACTTAGATTAGTTTGTAGTGATTTTCATAGATGACATTCTGTCTATTCTGAGAATGAGGAGCAATATGTGAGGCATTTGAGAACGGTACTGTAGATTCTGAAAGATAGAAAGTTATACGCCAAGCTTAGCAACTGTGAGTTTTTGTTGAGAGAAGTGAGATTTTTGGGACACATGGTGTCTGCAGATGGAATTTCAATGGATCCACATAAGGTTGATACAGTGTTAAAATAGGAACGTCCTAGTTCAATCACAGAGATACATAGTTTTTTGGGATTAGCTAAATATTATCGATGATTTATCTAAGGAGTTTCCAATATAGCTTTTTCTTTAGCTAAACTAACTCAAAAAGAGCAGCCTTATATATGGGATGACTGGTATAAAATGGCATTTCAGAAGGTAAAAGAGAAATTAACCATGACACTAGTATTGATTATCCTTAATCCAAAGTTACCTTACAAGGTATACACTGATGCGTCTTTGAAAGGTCTTGGTTGTGTCTTAATGCAAGATAGTCGAGTTGTAGCCTATGCTTCATGACAATTGAGACCACATGAGGAGAACTATACTGCGCATGATTTAGAGCTTGCGGCAGTGTTATTTGCTTTTAAAGATTTGGCACCATTACCTATATGGTACAGTATTCATTGTATTTAGTGACCATAAGAGTTTGAAACACCTGGTCAATCAAAAGGAACTAAATATGAGGCAGAGAAGGTGGATGGAGCTTCTTAAGGATTATAACTTTGAATTGAAATACCATCCGGGTAAAGCTAATATGGTTACTGATGCTTTGAGTTGGAAGACTTTGCATGTAGCAAGTCTTATTATTAAGGAATACAGATTGATGGTGTCATTTGTTGAGTCATAGCAGGACGCACCATTGAAGGCATTAGTTAGTGCTTATTCCACTAAGATTAGAAATGATTTCTGGAAGGAATTGAGAATGGCATAGCTAGAAGATGAGAGTCTCTTAAAGGTTAGAGAAGAGATTGAAGCAAATCAAGCTCTTGATTTTAGATTTAATGATGTGGTTTTTGTGGTTTACCGGGATAGGATTTGTGTGCCTAACGATGTAGATCTGAGAAAGGTTATCTTAAATAAGGCTCGCTATAGCAAGTACATGATTCATTCGAGAGCTACAAAGATATACTAAGATGTGAAGTGGTATTGGTGGTGGCCTGGTATGAAGAAAGATGTAATGGAGTTTATTACTTAGTATTTAACCTGTCAAAAGGTTAAGATAAAGCACTAAAGACCAGCAAGAATGTGGCAACCATTGGATATTCCTATATGGAAATGGGAGAGAATTTTTATGGATTTTATAATTAGGTTACCAAAAACTCAATCTGGACATGATGCCATTTAGGTCATAGTCGATAGACTTACTAAATCAGCTCATTTCTTAGTAATTCTTTAGAAAAGTTGGCAGAGATCTATGTCTGAGAAGTGGTAAGGTTATATGGTATGCCAAAGAATATAATTTTTGATAGAGATCCATGATTTATTTCTAAGTTTTGGGGAGCTTTACAACATGCTATGGGTACTAAGTTAAGATTCAGTACAACGTATCATCCATAAACAGATGGGCAGATAAAATGGACCATACAAACCTTAAAGGATATGTTGAGAGCTTGTGTATTGGAGTTGAAAGGTATTTAGGATAGCCATCTCCCTTTGGTTGAATTTACTTATAATAATAGTTACCACTCTAGCATACAAATAGCACCGTATGAGGCATTGTATGGGAGAAAATGCAGATTGCCTCTTTGCTGGATGAAGTTGAGCAAAAGGAGTATGTTAAGACTGGATATTGTGGATCAAACAACTTAAAAGATTAAGTTAGTCAAGCAAAAGCTGTTAACAGCTCAGAGTAGGTAGAAGAGTTATGCAGATAGGCGTAGAAGGCTGCTAGAGTTCTTGGTGGGAGACCATGTGTTTCTGAGAGTTACAACAGTTACGGGATTCGAGAGATCAATAAGAGCCAAGAAATTGACTCCTAGATTCATTGATCCTTTCAAGATTCTAGAGAGGATTGGACCAATTGCCTACAGGATTGCTTTGCCACCATAGCTATCAGGTGTGCATGAGGTGTTTCATGTGTCCCAACTTAAGAAATATCAATATGATCCTTTACATGTGATAGAACCAGAGGAGATTGAACTCCAGAAGAATTTAACTTATAAGGCTGAGCCAGAGCGAATCATAGATGTGAAAGAGAAGTAATTAAAGAAAAAGACTACACATTTAGTTAAAGTTTTCTGCTAAGGTATGGCTCCTGGTGATGCTACCTAGGAGACACAGGATAAAATGAGGCAACAATATCTATAATATCTACCTTGACATTACCAAAATTCACTACACAATCATAACAAACAATCATAAATAGGAGCAAAGATTGCTCTTAAGCTCACATTATATATATAAGAGTTAAAACTAATAATATTTTAAAAATAATTGTGAAATATTTAGATCCAAAAAAAAAGCTTCAAATTTATAGTTAATAATTTATAATTTATAAATGTATTGGAAGTATGGAAAAGTTTTGGGAAGCAAAATACTTGAAAACAAGGCCAAAAATGTCATTTTTGAGTATTTTGGTCCATGCGCCGTGGCTTGGGATCCATGCATTGTAGCATGTGGCACAAAAAAGCAAATTTAGTCATTGTACCGTGTGTCGTAGCTTGCATGCAATACACCATAGCGCATATGTCCATGACAGTAAAATGCTATCATGACAGTTGTTCAGTACAAACTTTAATTGCGTGCTGTTTTCACATCTGATGTCTTATTAGAGTGATTCAAGCGCCACACAAAGCTTATTTAATAAGATAACTAATGGTATAAGTTTTGTTATGATCCAACACCATAAAAATTTGACACTTGAATGTAAAAGTCAGTTTTTAAAGCGATTTTCAAGCATCCAAGTACCAAAAACTCAACTTATACCATTAACCCATTTTGAGGCTTGAACCAAGTCCAATGGAATAAAATACACCTGATTAAGCATTCAAATGCACAAAAACGTACCAAACACAAAATTTGGCCACTTAATGACAATTTCACCCAATATGGCCAAAATACAAAATCAATACCACATACACTATTTGGTTTCTATTGCCACATAATACACCACATATACATTGTCACCATATATATAAAACATTCCTTACACTTGTATTAGTATTTTAGGCCATCACCATAAAAATCACCATATATTTACATCATATACAATATTAGGCTAAAATACAAAATAACATAGTATGAAACAAGTACAACCAATCAAAATGATATATATTCCTATTTGGCAACATATAACATCATCCATATAAGTTTATGTACATAACTTAAAATAAAACTGGGCTTTACAATGATAATGTAGCAAGTATGCTAGCCCTTGCCCGATTCCTTCCCTTGCTCAATCTCAGCGATATAACCTATAAAATGATAACCACGGGATGAGATAAAAATCTCAATAACTAAGATAATCTACATTATTGATTAATATTCCAAGTTATAAATAAGCTTTAAAATGAGCATGATAGACACATTTTATAAAATCACCACAAGTTACATACATGATCACTAACCATCCGATCTTTTGATACTCCAGATTAAATTAGTAGGCTCTTTCATAGGACTAAACCATATGGTCCCCAAGCTCACCATCCATGGTAGAACTACCCAACCAAGGTGTCTTAAACTACTTCTGGACTATAGATTCCCCCTATTATAAGTAACTAAGGTGTCGTTACTCCAATACTGCATCCTATGGATGCTAAGGAGTATATTCTCTAACTCCATACCCTTTTGGATACTAAAGAGAGTAAGTCTCCAACACCGCACCTATTTTCAAGCACTAAGGAGAAATATGAACTGCATCAAGTGTCCCAAGGTGCCAGCAGTGTCATATGGATTTAATCTTTACTAACTCTACTAAGGTGACCTCCCACCCTTTAATATGCCACATTTCACTATATATCTCTACTTGACCATGCATAAATCACTTTCTAAATAAATATAACAAATCTTATCACTTACTTTAAAAATACGGAGTTTCACAAACCCATACTCCACTTATTTTCTAAAATAATTAACTTTTACAAAATTCATACATATATACATAACAAATCATAGAGAAATAACTTGAGAATAACTTATACAACGTAATAAATAATGTAATATATCTAGTTACCTTGACCCTTTTGTTACTAACAAAGGATTATCCATGGTACTAAATCTCTTCTTATATCAAGGCAAGTTTTCCCACACCACAATCTACATTAACAAGTACTATATGTCAATTTTCAATTAACACAAGCACTATTAGCTATCCATAACATTCCAATTCTCCCACTTCTCACTCATATTCTCAACAAATAGGTTTGTCAAGATTATAATTTTCTCACATAATCCCTTCAAGCCTCCCTCCAACTCTATCACAACATAACACTTGACATCTCAACTTGTCACACCTCAAAACCCTATAATCAAGCTAGGGCTTGATCCAATTTTCACCAAACAACAATTTAACTTCACATTACCACTTATCCAAGATTAAGAAATTTAAATCAATCCTTTAGAGTTAATAGAATCCTTTAAAACATAGACTCATAGCTTAATCCATTCAGAGTAAATTCTCCCACTTCCAAATCCCATGAAAAATGAGATGAAAAGGTA